TTGTTTTGATTACACTTATTTTGCATAACAACTGAAGAGCAGCCAGTGTTTCAGCAGTGAATAGCACCTCTATCTGTAGTATACAGGGATTTGTGTGAGAATAACAGAAGGAATGTAAAGGGATGTGTGTTTGATTGCAGACAATAAAAAAGCACAAATAATGAATAACGTACTTATCAATTCCAGCTAGTTATGACTATTTTGGCATTTTAGAAAGAGGGATGAGGAATGTGGGTATTTGCTAATTAAAGTACCTCTGTCCTAGTTAAACACTGCCCATATTAACAACATATTCCTCAACCTGCTCTACTGTCTCTCTAATTTTCACTCTCTTTTGTAATATGTCAAACTGCATGTGTTGCGTAAATTCCTGAAAATAAGTTTTATACAATATGATCTATTATACTGGCGTGTTTCTCAGGTGAGGTTGAATCTCAGTCTTGTTAAACTTTTGTTACTCTATGATAAATCCTTCCTATGAACTACATTCTGAGCTCGTTCATTTACAGAATTTACCTTGAGGGCAGTCCCAGGCACTGATTGCGTAATGAGCTGCCGCCTTACTCAATCAGCTGCTAATTAGGATTGTGAGCGTAATTTGAACGAGAGGCGTGCCACAAATTTGCCCCGCACTTTAATGTTCTTATATTTTGCCCTTGGTGCTTCCAGACTATTCATAACTGGAAAAGGTTGGCGAGGTCACTAAGAGTCTTCAGTAGACTTCCCCAAAGCCCAGAGGTCTAGCGAGACCTGGGCTTAACAAGGCAGCACGCTTGATCTGTAGAGAAGAAAGTGAATGTCTACAAGCTCTCAGCATGTTGCTCTGTCCTTTTGCTGGTGCCGAGTTAGAGTAGACAATCTGTCATATAGGGTTCTCATGAGCAGAATCATGGGCAATACACACACATCCTCTCAGATCGCAGGAAGCATAAAAAAGGAGGGAAGACGATGAGAAAGAAAGAGAGAGCATTATAGAGACATTCGGCTTCTAATGTCAGCACATCCTCTGGAAGCTTTAACTTGACCTTTATGTTGACCATAGTACCTCTCTCTTTTCTCTTATTCTCTACTCCTCCCTGTGCATTCCTTCTCTTTTACCCATTATCCAGTCAGCTTCCCCTTTGCTCGCCATAAATCTCATATGCTCGTTTTGCTGCAGTTGCCATTGTCTGATTCACACATGCACAGGGACGCAAACGCACTCACTTCGCACACATACGTGCACCATTGCTCCTGCAGTATCTAGCAGAGTGCAGTGCGTAAAAACCTCATCTAGCACCATTAACAGTTGTTCATTCTTACTCAGCCCTTCACAAAGGTTGTGTGTCAGGCTAACCAGACCAGAGCTTCAGCTTGCTTAATGGATTTGGGAGTTTTGCAGTGGGAGCTACACCTGCGTACAGAGCTGCAGATTAATTATAGATTGCTGTCGGGCCCAAAGTGGAGGAGGAAACGTTCTGTTACGTAGCTGCCAGCCTTTAAGAGCACTTACGCAGATGAGTGGATGATGGTAGGTGGGCAAGTCAGACTCTGTGTTATGCATCTGGACAGGCAGCAAATAAAGGTTTGCCATGGTATGCTAAAAAAAGGAAAAAAAGCAGTTCTTGATATGATTTCCAAGTCAAATTTACAGAAAGGGTTAATAAGCCAATCAAAAAGAAGCTCTTGCTACGATAATTACATTCTTTGGACATTGAGAAAATATTTTTAAATAACACAGTGTCTAAAATACCAGATATTTTGGTGTATTTTAGAACAAAATAACTCATTGAGCCTGCATATAAACCAAAGACGATAAATGAGTGAGCTGAAATGTCACTCGACAGGGATAAATGGTACATTGAAGAT